CCCATTAAACAAGCAGAATCATAAACGACTTGCCTAGCATTTCGGGATTCTTCATGCTCTTCCACCCTCTTCGTGTTTGTTTTCTTTCGGCAGCTCATGGGTAATTGAAGTTCAACGAAAGATAAATAACAAATACAAAATATAGAAATTCCACCGGTAAACTTTCGTTAGTAAAATCCAAAATCAGAAAATCGTTTTCCAAAATACAGTTCAATCAAAAAAAACGATAAGTAATCCAAAGTTCTTCTTCCAAGAAGTTTAATATTATAAACGATTAAAATTCCAAATGTTTCCTTATTCTTCTTAATAATCAGACTGTAGTAGGCTTGTTCTTCAAAATCGTTAGACTGCAGTTGGATTTTCTGCCGTAGCAGTTCAATTCGATTCCAATAGACGTATGCTGGACGCACTCTCCGATTTAGAATATCAAAACACAATAATTCTAGGAGAAAGTGGTCTATTTAAATTAAAGAAATGGAAATACAAACGTACCTAACGATTTTTACGTCTTCAAATTCAAAATTACTCTGAATGAGTATCCAGGTTGCGGAGACTAGGTGAAACTCGTATACTGCAACAATATCAAAACCAAAAATGTGGCTGTGGCCATATTATATATCAAATTTAAACAACATGTGTACAGTTCAGAAGCAAACATAAAAACTTCAATGTAGGTACAAGATATAGAAATAATAACAATATACAATGATAAAATCTCAAAATGGAATCAAATCAAATACCAAAATGTCAACAAAAAGAGTCCGTCATGTCATAACAAAAATATATAAACATGGAGGGATTTTCCAAAAAACAAAACATTCAAAAAAGATTCTACACTGCTACGGTTGAAAATTCATCTACCTTTGGCTTTAAGATATTTAACTGATGTCTGTGTTTTGTTGACATTTCAGTACATGTTGGTATAAAACCGCTTATATCCAATAGTTTCAGCATTCTCATATCAAATGAAGAGAGAGAATATCATTTTAAGTATCTGCTGACATATCACTATTTGTAGATCAGAAATGCAGAGTCGTAAGAAGTTGCGAAACTTCCGACTGTAGATTCATCAGGCATGGAGTGTTTTGATTTTGATGTTTTGGCTGGTTGAGAAGTTAGCGATATTTCTATTCTCCCTGCGTTATTGATCGTAATTGAGAACTGAGTGTCAACATACTTGCTTGATGAAAGCCTATATATAAGGGCATAGCCTGTTTTATGCTAGCTGAGTTGATACTAAAATCAGTGAACGTGAGTTTAGCACAGATTTTATAGGCGAGGTGTTCAGTTATTGGATGGGATAATTACTACCAGTCAATTATTACGTTTAAACTAGCACATTCGGAAGTTGCAAACATCACTATTAGAGTTATCAACTGCTGAGTAATTATACCTTTTATTTAGGAATGTTAGTCTATGACAAGTATGAATTAATTGATTAGGAACGTAAAGGATTTGCATTTCAAACAAAACTGTAACACAGCTAACAAGTAAATTGATGATATTAGTTTAACACAACACGAAAATGAACAATTTGCTAAGACATCTCTACCAAGTGGAAAATTGTTACCACATTCGGAGTTCAAGTGTTGTTCTTTTTGTTGAAGACAGCTTTTTATGTTGTAGTTAGCCTGCTACCTCATCAGTTTTCTGTTCAGATTATATCATAAAAGTACACTAGACCGTTAACGAAAACTTTGGAGTTGCGACCTGGCCATATTTTTACTTCAGCTATCTCACTTCTGTGTGTTTTTTTGTTGAAATTCACAGAATGCACTGAAGTGGCTCTACAATGAACAGCCAGTTCAAGTATCACTCCAAAACACTTGTTTAATGGTTCACACCAATAATTACCAATACTCAACACAATTCACACCATCCACGTATACATTACTCAGGGTAGCATTCGCACAAACTAAATATTCATGTAACCAGTAAACTCTCCAAACCTACTCGGAATAATAAAGTGTAAACCTATTATCAGGTCATTCATATCACACTACTTCACATCACACCACTCCACTACAGTGCATTCCACATCACTTCCATTGCCATCACCACCTCTCTCATACTTCATGTTCAAATTTGCATGATCAATGAACACTCACCTATTGTATAAAAAGGCATAAACACCCAATCTCACGGTCAACAAATAGCAATAAAATATAACATCCTTCTGATTCCAAAGGTGAGTGTACCACGTCACAGATTGACTTATTGTCTCACATTATCCATTTTTAATTTAGATGCACCTCACTTTCATATCGACATTCATTGTGTTGATCATGATCAACTTTTCAAAGGTTGGCTGTATTCCACTGTCGGACGATGCTAAAAGTGGAGAGTTGGTGAACGGTATGGGTGAATGTTGTTTCGTGCTTTGAGTTCAATATTAGTTGTTTGGTGTTTTTTGCTCGAATACACACAACGTTGTAGAAAGTTGTTTATGATGTAATCTGACTTCAGTTCTGGATTAGAAGTCCGACATTAGTTTGCACTTCAAGTGCACTATGCCAGTCACACTGTCCATTCACTTGTCAACAATCACACTCACCGCGTTTTCACCCACATGACACCGTGAACAGTTTGCATTTTGACGACTATTACCATATGATTATTTGAGAATGAGAGTGAACGTAGGAAATGCGAGTACGAGTTCATGTGTAAATATAGATATTTGTTTTGCGACAAATACGTCCGAATGGTACTGAAGGCATATGGGATGAATGTTTCATAAACTCGTAAATATATTCGTCAATAACTCGTCAGATTTGCGTTCCGTTTGTGGAATGTCTGAAATGTAACGCAAAAAATATAGTAACTAGATCGCACTACTAAATATTTTAGTATTTGCTTCACTTTATTTTTGTATCGTTTTTCAGTGATAAGCAAAGAGTCAGGGAAGGTGCCACAGAATTTTCTAAATACTCACACTGAAGATATGAAGAAACTCTCCTACGAAAAGATGAGCAATTTTATGGACGCTCGTGAGAAAATTTCATAAATACTTTCCTGTCATTTCCGTCATTATAAACGTGAAAATATAATGCACATTTCTTATGAAAATTTCGTTATTTCTTTTCCATTGACCAGCTAGTCAGGGGGATAAAGGGTATAAGTGAGCATCAAGTATATGAGTAAACTAGTTGTGCTTCAATAAATCATTTCTCCATTAATTATTAAGCGTTGCCCATGAATTCTGTTGTCCAATTTATGCTATTCAACAATAGCATGACGCTCGTCTTTTCACTTACATTTTTATTCGGATGTACACTCTCTGGTTTATCCACCGTCTACAAACATCTCATTGCAAAATGTCGAATAAACGTTACTCGAATTCTAAATATGTCATATTTGATGGTATCTGGATGAAGGCAGTAGATGTAAAATTTTTCGTCTTGATTTTGTTCTGGTTGACACACGAAAATAGCTCGTTATTGCACTCTCGAAGTAACAGCTTTCGCTGCTTGTAACTTACTTACGATCTTCACTGGCCAATGAGGGAAGTTGTTCTTTCGACAGTTTACTGAACCGTTTTATTTAGATTGGTCTTTGGTAGATATTAGATACCGGAGTAAGTGTTCCTCTAGTTGGATCAGTGTTTTGGCATGCAAAATATGTTATATGCATCAATATGCATTCCACAGTGTAACGCATGAAGTTATCGAGGAATGAGAGATTAATGTTCCTCAAGGGGATGAGTTTGCGTAAATTTGTATAGCTTGAGGATCTGTTAATTTCGGTGGCTTGTTACTTGCAGTTGGAAACGTATTTGAAACTATTGAAAGTGATTTTGTATTTCAGAAATCTACACACAGGTCTTATTAGCAAAATTATTTTCAACATTTTCAATATACCCGGCGTGCAAGCAGAATTCTCTGTTCAGCCTACGCCTCAAACTCTGTTGTTTTCAATAAGTTATTTTGTTATTCACTGCCCTCGCATCAACACTAATTTTATGCCATATAGGAACAACTAAATGAGCTCTGTCAATAAAAGTTCTGTTCTTCACGACTTCTAAGGTAGAATTTTCAGTCTACTGACATTGATTTGTCACTCGAATATCAATCGACGAGCTGCATGTAGTGAAGGCTTCGTACTTGACGTTTTGAGTCATGTACAGGAATCACTACTACTACTGCTGCTACTACTACTACTACTACTACTACTACCACTCACAATACTACTACTACTTCTAATACTCTCACTACTACTACTACTACTCACACTACTACTCATACGGCTCACATTACTACTACTGTAGTGAATGAGAACACAAGTGGGGCAACCGAATCGTATTTAACGAAAATTACAGAGTTACTCAGTAAAATCGGAAAACCGTATCGTAAATTGTTCATTTGCAAAAGATCAGTTCATCCTATGGAACTGGACTGTTCCTGTTGCAAAACATCAATCCATTGTCACTATTCATGCGTTTCATACAAATTCCATTGTGTTCTTCTAACTCTTCCTTTCTTGATCTTCTCCCCATATTATGCTACCAGACTTTACGTTGACACTCACGTCATATACTACTTATAAGTAGTTCGCACCACAGCACCACACTACTACTACTACTACTCACATTACTAATACTATTACTACTACTACTACTCACACTACTACTACTACTACTTCCACAACAACTACTACTACCACTCACATTACTACTACTACTACTACTACTACTACTACTACTACTACTACTACTACTACTACTACTACTACTACTACTACTATTGGTACTACTACTGCTACCATTATTATTACTATCAGTAGTAGTGTTGATGGTGAGAAGGAGCATCCAATTTGCTCACAAGGAAATAATATACAAGGCTTATCGATTGGCAGTGATGAACTGCATCAATTAATGCATCTTGTTGATCCACATCATATTGAATGAACAACTGACTGTTACGATACATATCATTACGATTGTTATCTACACCAACCAACGAGATTGAAGTACACATGGTTGGTCGAGCATGACACTAAACATTTCAAAAAATATGAAATTGTGACAATGAATTGAATATCGTAATTACAAAACAACAATGCGACAAGTTACATGTGTCATTGATGGTTAAAGGTGAGTCTTCAGTCAACTCTAAATTATTGTTATCGCCAGTAAAAATGTTGACAGCTAAAAATGGTTGTTCACGTTTATATTGTAATTTCAGTGAATGGTATTGAGTGTTTAGAGAACAAACATGCAGATCATCATCATTGTATACTACGTCAAACTGAGCTGGACAACATTTACCAGGCAATTCCATATGTCAATGTGCAGTTTCATCAATATTTTGATGATGATTGACAATCATGTTCTTCATATCTAAGATTGATTTTCAAAAGAAAGACAACACAGAATCAGTGGAGATAGGTTACGCGTGGCAGTGAACACTCGTCACAGGCGTAAAGTAGAGCCTTGCACAATTGGAAGTTCTCTTTGAAGGATTCCATAGTTTTCACTTGGCATTAAGTAACAGATGCAATACCTAAGTTAGAAGCCATTGGAGACGCTTTCAGACGAATCTAGCCGTCCAAATACATGCAAGCCCTGAGCATTTGTTTAGGTTCGTTACAAAAATTAAACAAATGAATCAGGGTTTGTGTTCCCTCAAACGTCTGAATGGTGAGACCTAGAGATGGCTGAGATCTTCAAAGCATACTTCACCGATCAGTCAAATCAGGTATCCACATGTTCAGAGTACTACGCAAACCCAGTGACAGCTAACGGCTTAAGGATCATAGGTATTACTCCTTATTTAGTTCTCAGGAAATTAAAATCCTTACGCCCAGGAAAGTCACCAGGTTGTGTCACTATTAGCCCCATGGTCTTGAAACAATGTGCAGAAGCCCCCAACTAATTGATGGGTTACCTGGATTCACACCAACTCCCAGCTAGATTGAAAGAAATGATCCAACATGCTACAGACGAGTCGCATCACTAGCAATACTATCGAAGATAATAGAAAGGCTGGTGAACGAACAGTTGAGGGAGTATATGGATAAGAACAAAAGCCTCTATTAAGCTTAACACGGGTTTTGGAAAGGCAGGTCGTGCGCATACAATCTTCTCACACTTTAGGACAGTTGGACATCCTGCTGGGACTGAACGATACCTGTGCACGTAATATTTCAGAACGCTGAAAAAGCTTTCCACACAGTATCTCACGAACGCCTAATCGTGAAGGTTGTGAAAATGGTATTCACTGACCCACTCCCATCTTTGCCCAGAAACTACTTCGATAATAGAAAGTTTAGTACCAAGGTAAATGAAGTGCACGCTAATTGGCGAGTCTCAACATCATGAGTTTCACAAGGGACCATCTTAGGTCCACTTCTGTTTCTGATATTCATCAACGACCAGTCAGGAAAAGTTAGCTCGACGACATTGATCTAAGCAGACGTTGCGAAGATCTGGAGGTCCATTAGAAGCGTAGAGGATTTGACTGAGCTCCAACTTGACCTTACATCCATTTACGAATGGGCAGTGAAAAACGGTTTAAAATTAAAGCAGCTGAGGTGTCACGTCATGTACATCCTGCCACACCTGAGGCAAACTATTTACACCCTCAATGGAGGTCCGCTCTCCAATGTCTCTGCAGAGCGCGATCTTGGTTCGATAACCACTGAAAGCCTCGACACCATTTCGAACTATGTATGGGTCGCAGCCAACGCCAATGCAACTCTTCACTTTATGTGAAGAAAATTTGGGGCCATAACCTCATAATTATTCTTAACATTGTTTATGACATGCATGCGCCCACACCTGGAGGTTCAAAACGTCGTCGCACCCCCTCTTCTTAAAAGAGACATAAGTCTCTTGGATCGACTGCAGAGACGAGCAACGAAATGGATTATAGGGTCGGAGCAAAAACCGTACGAAGAGAGACTCCAGCATTCAGGATTATCCCCCCTGAGTCACAGAAGAATCAAAGGTGATCTGAATATGGCGTACCAGACATTAGGTATGCCAAAACATCCGAACATTAGCAGCTTACCTATGCATCACCACCACTCCCCTCTAGGTATTCCTCGAAAAATCGCGTGTCAAAGAGAGAACACCCAGGTACGCTTCCATATTCTTTCAGCAAGAGTTGTTGCAACTCGGAATGCTCTCTAAGATGAGGTGAAAACAGCCCCATCATTTACACAGCTTTAAGAAGAGACTTGATAAACGCGTACTCACATACGGATTATCATCTCCCTCTTGGACAAGCTGTGCCTAATACATATCTCGAGACCTGCTAGTTGTTATTGTTGCCATACCCTAAGGTCACTAATTTATTCTATCTGACCTATTATCTCTGTTTCCCACCTCTTTCTTACACTTCGGTCCTCTCACAATCTTCAATACAATTTATTAAACTATTTACTTACTTAGTTCTGAAATCTTCTCCTTACTAGCATTAGAATTTCCTCATCATTATTCTCCACATTGTAACCAACTGATCTCCGGTCTGGTAATGTGATAGCTGCTGGTATCCAGAAACCCTAATGCCCTGAAACAAACCATAGGACATACAAACTCACAAACAACTGCCAGCAGACTAGAATCAGGCAGTCGAGTGACTAGACCCCATCCACTGAATGCTACGAAGAACCTGGAGCCGTGCTTAAAGAAAATGAATCGAGCACAGAGAAATTAAATAGTTTATACTAGCTCGTGAAAAATCCGATATTGGATATTGAACACAAGTTTATGGAAAGAACCTGGAGCCCCTGAAGATACATTAGTGTTTTTTCGCTATGAGTTTTAGAAGAATCTTCGAATTTAGGATGTGGACAGACACATGGATACGTAAACACAACTTCACTTGGAGTTAAAGTACGTTAATTTCTATGAAGGATACAAGGAGGAAATGCGGCCAGCTTGAGTAACTGCACATAGCGCGCTTTTCTAGCGGCTGTTGTTATGCTTGCCGATATTGATCGTGATGCTTATATTAAAAGCCAATCATATACAAAATACATCTCTACTGTCTGCCTGTTTGGATCGGATTTTATATAGGTAAGTATGATTATCATCCTTGTTTACATTTCATGACATTTTCGAATGGAAATGATTTAACATTCTTTATAATGATTGTCTCGGATAAAAGTGCATGCTAAACTATTTCTGTGATATTTTACGTCGTATTGTGGCAGGTTGCTAGCTTTGCAGGTTTGACCGAACTGTAACTTCCCAAGCAAATAAAAAGAGGAATCTTTGGGGAAGTATGGGTGTGAATCCTTTTTAAAATTCAATATATATACAGGCGAAAATGCATGAAATTTTCGCCTTTTCCCTCAACTTGGGGTAAATAGTAGGAATTTCTTAGAGGGAACGTATCGGAATTAACACCTTAACGCTCCCCCAATTGTCTACTTTTTCCCAAAATTCACATCAAATTGTGTTTTTCTGCTTAATCGAAACGTACAGTAGTAAACGTTTCACCAAAGTGATCGGACTAGTGTACTTAGGAAGTTCGTCTTTATTTCTACACATCCAACAATTCATCTGTGTAATCTATTGGAATCAAAAAATATTAACTGGTGAACAGTTTATTGACAATTTTTATACTAAGGCTTTTCATTTATTTAGAAGGAATAACATGAACTTGAAGTCGTTACATAATCACCATCTTCAACACGAAATAATTTCATCTTTGAATTCCTAAAAATGAGCATAATAAAGCGGTTAGGGATGTTTTCAAACACCGACTACAAAATTGTGAAATGCGGTGTGACCTACGGTAATGTTGCGAACTTACATTTTCTTTCCTTCGGTAATGGCCTCTTTCAGTTTATCCCTTATTTCTTGAAAAGACCCTTGAGCATTGACATCGAACACTTGCAAGATCTTTTTCACTGATACTGGACGACAGAAATTTTGGAGTTAATGTACCTTTTGGATGTGAAAAACTTACCTAGCAATCAGAAAAACTGAAATCTCTAACAGCCAAAATTTAGAATATCTTGCTTGGTTGTAACTAGTTTGCATTTCTGCGACATCCAAGTCGACAGAATCGTAAATATGTCCCGACATTTGCTCGATGACTTCTCTGCAATCATTAGAAGCAAAAACCAACTTGACTTGCTTTTCATTTTTATAGAGACAAGGCGTCTTAATTTTGCTTATTCTCGTAACCAACTAATAAAGTTATCGATTCAGCCAAGTCAGATGCTCAACTGAAGTCGTCTACAGGATGAAAAGTCCATATTTTGAATTAACCGAAGTTGTCAAAGGCGAAGATTTGTCCTCAGGATACCAGAGTTCAGCCACACTTCGGTTACTAACGATCTCCGGTCAACCTGAATGGCAAATTGATTTAAGTCCTCCGACTCTTAACGAGGTTGAAAAGGCCTTAGGAAATCTAAAGAGAGGGAGAGCAGCAAGCCTTGATGGACTGATTCCTGTCATTTTTAAGGGTGGTGGTCCAGTTTTAGCAATTGGATTGACTGAGATATTAGCTAGAATCTGGGGAATGGATAAAATATTATCCGATTGGTCCCAATCACTGATTTTCCCAGTCTATAAGAAAAGATAAAAGTCCTGTTGTGAGAACTACAGAGGAATCAGTTTAGCTAATATAGCGTCCAGAATATTAGCTTCAGTAACACATCGACACCTAACTAGAGCTTGTGAAGAGCAGTCTGGTTTCAGACCTGGACGTGGATGTATAAACCAGATATTCACTCTTCGTCAGATCCTAGAACATTGACACTCATTCAGACGTCCCACAATAGTTATACTCTTTGACCTTAAGGCAGCTTTTGACTCTGTCGATCGTAAGGTTCTATGGCAATGTCTGTCATTGAAGGGTGTTCTTAAGATGTACATTAACTCTGTACATGCTCTCTGCTTAAACACTACTGAAAGGGTCAGAGCTTATTGGGAACTGTCATCGGAATTGGTTGCTTCAAGTTGTGTTCGTCGAGGCTGTCCACTTTCTCCATACTTATTTAGCTTTGTCTTCGACATGCTTTTAGAAACGAAACTTTCATCGTTTGACTTTTTCAGGAATTAACTCTCCACTAGGAGATTCACTTGTTGACTTAGAATATGAAAGTGACATAGTTCAGTTCGGTGAAGACTGGCAAAATTCAGTCTTCTGAACACCTTAAACAACAATACAAACATGTTTGGGACCTGATTCACCCGTCCCATGGAGATGCAAAATATTGCTTCAGGATTGGCTTGCATCGGTAACTAAACTAGTGAAAGGAAGTGAAGTAGTTGAGCGTGTTGACTGCTTCACTTATTTGGGGAGTCTCATCAGTGCTGACA